AATACAGCAGTTATAGTGTACATGTGTATCATTATTCTCTTGAACGACCACGATACATAGATACATGTTCTCTTGTTTACTATTATCTGTTTTAGATTGTTTTATATCACTTGATATCGCCATTTTCGCCTATCTATTTAAAATATTTACAATTTATTAATTAAATCACATACAATATTTTCCGTTATGACTAAAAGAAAAACACGTACCACGAATACCAACGACGATGATATAGATTTATGTGGAGCTGGTTTGTCATCGAGCAAACGAGAACGAAGCAAGAAAACATGTGTAAATAAGTTATTATTTGAACAAAAAACTGTTGTAAATAATCCTGATGGTATAAGTCTTTTTTTTATTTGCATTTCGTTAATATTTTTCTTTTAGTTGATGAGCCAACATTTACAACATTGACACCTGTTCCACTTGATCAACACATGAACATTAATGATCAAGAAAATACACCACCACCATTAATTATTGATGTTGTTAAAGAAACATGTCCTTCACAATCGATTATGTCTGATCATTTTCCACGAAGTGAACCTATTGGGAGACATTTACCATGTCATACAACAAATGCTATTCATACAACATCGAATTATTTAGCAAATAATTCAACACGTTTTATATCTTATGAAAATCGTTCTGTTAATATTGATCAGTCGAATAAAGAACGTCCACCTGAAGGAAATCCGTGAGTTATTACTTCATTAGGAATTATAACGTTATTTGGAAAACCAAACTTTAGTCTTTAGAAAAAAAATATTTATGGTTTAAATAGAAAGAAAATTTTGGGTCATAAAAAGGTCGTATTGTAGCTATGTAAATAAAGCAGTGTAAAACGTTTTTATGGATACAGTAGCATATGTTTTTGCTCACCGATAAAATAAAAAAAATATAAAATTCTTGTTGAAATTTGAAAAAGAAATATATTACAATTAAAATGAATGTTTTTATATTTTCAGAACACCTATTGTCGATCGTTTGACCGAAGGTCAATATTCTTCAAATATTCGTTCACAATCTTCAACTCCTGGAATTGTTGTTTCAGTCGATCGGCGTGGACAAAATTCAAATGAAGATTTCAATCATAATTATCGAACCTCAACACCTATTCGACTATCTCGTCGTGATCAAATTAATATTAGTTTACATAATGATAACAATGATTCATTTTCTATTGATTCTATCCCGAAAGAAACTTACGATATTTTATCAAGATTTCCTGAATTTCGACGATTAGTTAAAACTTATTACCAGGAGAAAAAGCTTGTTAGCGCAGCTCCTTCGGAGCTGAAATGTGGAACTCACGTATATCCTTCTACCTTGCTATCCTAATACATCATCCGTAAACTGAAAAATTTCTCGTTGGTTGTAGTTGTTTTCACTAATAACCGATGACAAGAGCAAGAATTTATTATTTACTTCTACATTTATTTCTAAATTTAAAACAGAAATATTTTATTTTTTCTACGGGCGCCCTATTTTTTGTTTGCATTGTTGCTAATCGCTCATTATTTTTCATTTTTTTTAATTCACGTTTTTTTTAATTTA